GGAGGCATTGAAAAAACAAAAATGTGTGTGTTTAAGAGAGAAAAACATAGGAGAGAAGAGTTAAAAGAGTTAAGCAAGCATGTGATGTTTTGCCTGAGGTTTGGTGTGCCCAGCAGTTTTGCACTTGACCATTCCAATCATACATCACATTTCTGTATTCAGTACTAACAAAAAATCTGCCAAACGGAGGGTTTTGGATTATCCACTGCTGTGCCATTCAGGCATCCTTGACACAGAAAGGGATGAACATTCCAAGTAGGGTATGTAACAGCCAGTAGGGTATGTAACAGCCAGTCAGACCAGATCCTGGCTGGTGCTGCTATGCGGCCCCACCAGCCCTGTCCGTGTAGGCGCCACCCCTCCAACTGCGGCATCGTGAGGAGGCTGCTGGGGGCTGAGGGACAGGCTGGCTGAGGTGGGGTGGTGGGCATCACAGGCCAGTGGTTATTCCTAACTGGTTAATTGGCAGGGCCGTACTGGTTGGTATAGCTAAAAATCAGTTCTGGACAGAGGTTAATTGGGCACCAACTAGTTTCAACCCTTTAAGAGGCAATGTCTGATATTGGACTTTTTCTTTAGTTAAAATTATTTTAATGAAGAACCAGCTTAGAATATGAGCGCAAAAAAGGTCTGTATTTGGACTTAAAGGTCACTTCATTGTCTTGATGCATAGAAGTCGTTGAAATGCATTTTTCCTTTTGTCTTCTTCCAGGAATCTGATGGTAGTCACAAGAGCCCACAACAAGATTTATTCTCTTAGGCCTATAATTAAAAGACTTTCAAGAACCAAATGAAAAATGCTAGTGAATTTCGCTTTCTATGGTCATGCTGACGTTCTTACAGAAATGGCACTGAAAGCTGGGCTGTGACATCATGCTGCAGGTCTCCCTCACACTGGAGCTTCTGCTCATACCAGCAGTTGGTGGCATTTTGTTAAAGTGGAAGTCTCTCTTATTAGAACCTTTTAAAACAAGCCAAATCTGGTTTTATGTACAGCTGGTGGGCTTCCTAGTTAGAGCTTGCAAGGTGTTTTACGTCACAGTGACCCAGATTCGTTTAGGAGCAGGCTTTGTCATCTTTGTCAGTAAGTTGACCACTGGTCATTTCTAGCTATACACAACGCAAACAATCATTAAAAACAACAGTACCATTTTGACTTTGAAAATCAAAACACAAGCAAGTCAACCCACCAGTCAACAAAACCAGAACAAAAGGCAAACCATTTGCATAATTTGTATAAATTTAAAAATAAGGAATTTTACTTATTTTTATATCTGTATGTATTGGTTGACCTGTTTATCATAAAGAACTAAAAATTATCCCCAACAAGAGTAATAAAAAATTAGATGACTTTGAAGAAAAATTCCAAAGCATTTAAGAGCTAAGGAATTTTCCCACTGCTATTCATTCAAAATATTACAATCTTCAAATATCTGCAACACCCACACCCATCCAGACTGGATGGCCTCGTCCAGCAATGCACTTGCACAACTGCTTTCCCAGGGAGTGCCACCTTGTGGGTAGCTAAAAAGAAACGCTTTTGTTTTCATCTCTACCATGTTCAGTGCTCACTACCCAACTCACCCTCATTTTAGAGAGGTGGACTGTGAGATTCAGGGATATGACTTGAGTTTACTAAAGACACTTAGACTCTAAATGACAGTGATGGATTTTAACCCAGGTTTACCTCGAGGCTGAGATCAGTGACTCCGAAGTATTTCCTTCCTGCTACTAGACACATGCCGTTTGACATTCACCTGTCTGACACACGACTCTTGACTTGGTGGCTTTCCTCTCCTCTGGAGAGAGCACACTGAAATAGAGCCAAGTGGGGTTCTTGTAGGGGATGGTCCCGATTGAACCCATCCTGATTCATAAACAGTCTACAAATTTTGGTACGTAACAGGATCACTAGTTAACTAGCTTCTCGTCACATGCTAGTACACTGCACACCACCCACCCTTCAAAGGCCTCTACACCTGAACAAAAGCACTTCAATCTACTTAAAAACTCTTCCCAGTGCTGCCCAGAGCTTCCCCACGGCCCCTCCACCACTTCCCCAGGCAAACATTGTGGACACATGACCTTGTAACTGATGTTGATGGAGAGCTAGTGTGTATACTTTGAAAATTCTACTTACAGGAATTTTTCAAGAAAATAACCACTGCTACATTTTTTAACTTATGAGAGTAAAACGGGGACTTCCCTGGTGGAGCAGTGGATAAGAATCCACCTGCCAATGCAGGGGACACAGGTTCAATCCCTGGTCCGGGAAGATTCCACATGCTGTGGAGCAGCTAAGCTCGAGTGCCACAACCACTGAACCTGTGCTCTAGAGCCTTTGAGCCACAACTAATGAGCCCTTGTGCTGCAACTACTGAAGCCTGTGTGCTTGAGAACCCGCAAGTCGCAACTACTGAAACCTGCGTGCCCGAGAGCCAGCAAGTCGCAACTACTGAAACCTGCGTGCCCGAGAGCCAGCAAGTCACAACTACTGAAACCCGCGTGCCTGAGAGCCAGCAAGTCACAACTACTGAAACCCACGTGCCCGAAAGCCAGCAAGCCACAACTACTGAAGTCCGCATGCCAGAGAGCCAGCAAGCCACAACTACTGGAGCTCACGTGCCTGAGAGCCAGCAAGTCACAACTACTGAAGCCCATGTGCCTAGAGCCCACGCTCCCCAACAAGAGAAGCCACTGCAATGAGAAGCCCAGGCACCGCAACTACAGAAAGCCCGTGTGCAGCAACCAAGCTCCAGTGCAGCCAAAAGTAAATAAAAGAGTAAACTGGATCTCCGGGGTTAAACTGTACCCAGAGAGGAATCACAAGGTCTGCATTTCCTTGTTCAACCAACAAGGCGTGGCTGACTCGAGGTTACTCTATTTTCACGCCACCAATGAAGGCTAGTACAGTGTACACATCCCCCCCAAAAAAAGGCAGAAACATCCAAGAGCATGTGTTCAGAGGCTATTTCTAAATATTTTACATTAACATTTTAATTACAAATTAAGCTGATTAGGCCTAAAAACTGAATGTCCTCACAGTTCCTTTTAAACTGTTGGCACTTCTCTCCATCAGCTACAAATAGGTTTCTCAAAGAAGGGCTCTGATGGCCTGGGTGGACACCGGCCATGTGGCATTGCCTCGCTTTCCCAGTCGGTGGTCTACACCTGCCCCTTCTTTGCCACTCAGCTTCCATCCCTTCCAGGTCTTGAAACCGCACTCCCTCAACCCCAGGGGAGCATCTGGAAGAGGAATTCCAAGGCTAAGAACGAGCTGACTCCATACTGGCGCAAAGTGGCACTCATGAAGTTAACAGTAGTTCACAGCCCTAACCGCCCAGCCTTCGCTCGTCTTCTCTTCCTCCAGCCTGTATCTCCTAGGACCCCTTAGACTACTCTTTTAGTTACTGTTTCCAGCTCCTTCTCTACCCATCCTCTAAACTCTCCCAAGTTTTACACTCAGCTGCTTGCTCTTCTGACTATATACTGCCTCAAAGATATGATCTATTTCTAAGGTTTCAAAGATCACCTTTATACATATTAACACAAATCTCTCTCTTCAGTCTGACTTCTCTAAGTCCAGCATCATGTTCCAAACTACATGTACTAAATCCTCAAAAGAAGGTGCCATCCACCCCTTACCGGTCCACTTTTCAAGGGCAAGTATCTAACACTCTTTCACATGGTTTGCAAAACATTTTATACACGGCTTGGCCCCTTTTTACATTTCATATCCTTTTACAAATTTACATAAATCTATGCACCTGAAAGTTGCCAGAAACTCCAGCTTAATAACAAATATGAACTCAAGATCCCAACTTCTATGCCAAAGAGCAATGGTTTCCAAAGGGAGGTATGTATATTTCAGGGGCTAATGTAAGATAATTTACTAAGTACATGCATGTGATCTATAAATAGTAGCATATAGATTTAAGAGAACTTGTAATTTAAATGTGGAGTCCACTGACAAGAAGAATGTTATTGACAAACAGTATTCACAGTATTACAATACTATTTGTGATAAAAAGAAGCACTAAGTGTGACATCTAGGAAACTATTAGAATACTGACCATAAACACATCCTGTTGTCAGATGTGATCAAGGTATTCTCAAATCCAAATGTGATCAAGGGATTCTGTCTCCTATCCTGACTCAATACTACTCCCTATCTAAAACTTGCATCTGAGAAACATGAGGACAACTAAAGATCAAGCAGTTCGTATGTTAAAATAATAAGAGCAATTCTTTCCACTATGTTTTCTGTTTTCCTCGTGACGAAATTTGATCAAAATACAAGAGCAAGAGGGAAAGTAGATAGATTTTCCAAGTGTTGGAAAATCTTGTTGCACTGCCCAGACATGACTGGGCAACCTCTTTGCTAAGAACTTTGGGGAAGAGACGCTTGTTTCATGGCATTCCAGAAAGCAAGCCATTATCTTATCCATTATCTAAGCCATATCTACTGTATAGATCCAGGCACTGCAATGATTGTTCTTACAATGAGGTCATCTCACGCGTGGCTTCACATCTACCCCCTCACTGCAAGGGAGACCCCTGGAAGGTTGCTAACGCAGTCAACTGTCTACTCTCCATCCCAGACCTCTTCTTTCACTGAATGGAATCTAGCTAAGCAAAGCTTCACTTAAAAACAACAAAGCCTCCCACCTTCTGAGATGGGCCATTCTCTCTCTGTGGAGAGCGTCTCTCTAAATAAATTCACTTCTTACCGATCACTTTGTCTCTCACTCAATTATTTCTGCAATGAGACATCAAGAACCTGACCTTCATTAAATCCTGAGACCAGGGTCACAATGCCTTAGAAGATAACCTTCCTGGACTTTTCTGGTGGTGCAGCGGATGAAGAATCCGCCTGCTAATGCAGGAGACATGGGTTCGATCCCTGGTCTGGGAAGATTACCCATGTCACAGTGCATATACAGCCATGGGCCACAATTACTGAGCCCGGGAGCTGCAACTACTGAGCCTGTGTGCCAAAACTACTGAAGCCCACCAGCTACAGAGCCTGCAAGCCACAACCGAGTCCGCACTCTGCGACGAGAGAAGCCTGTATACCTCACCTGAGAGGAGTCCCGGATCGCTGCCACTAGAGAAAGCCTATATGCAGCAATGAAGACCCAGCACAGCCAAAAATAATTTAAAAGTGACAACCGGCCATCAATGAATGAAGATGGCTTTGTGTGATTAATGTGTTCAGACTTCCTTGATGGCTCGGCAGTAAAGAATCCACCTGCAATGTAGGAGATGCAGGTTCGATCCCTGGGTCGGGAAGATCCCCTGGAGAAGGGAATGGCAACCCACTCCAGCATTCTTGCCTAGGAAACCCCATGGACTGCATGCCAACAAGCTTCTCTGGGAAATCCCCATGAACAGCAGGGAGCCTGGCTGGCTACGGTGCACGGGGTCGCAAAGAGTGGAACATGACTGAGCCACCTGACAACAACAAAGCTGCATTCCTATCTTTTAAAACAGAAAAATCACGCTTGACTCCTAAAAAACCTACAATAAACTGGCACACTGGTTCTCACATGAAAAAAAAATGCCGAGACAGACTCCTGTGCAAATTTTAGACTTGCAAACGCAATTTCTATAAATCCTAACTAGATGTACATGTCTCCCACTTAAATTGTCTCTTCTTGGTTTGACTTGTGTTTCAGCCTAAGACCTCTCTTTATGTTTCCCTCCAAACTGTGTGTCCTCTGTAAACTGACCACATGCATATTCATCTGCGTGTAACACACACACACACACAGTTTACACTGGACAGCACAGGGCTTTATGGAATTTGACATGTTGACACATATCTATTAATCCCATCAATACAAAAGTTCACAATTAAAGTCCACTCAAACATACTACTACCTATATGAAATCTTGCTACCCTGATTACAATAAATTACTCTGCCTTGTTGAAATTAAGACATAGTATCAAGCTGCCCCTTGATCTCAAGTATATTTGCACATGCATCTCATAAAAGGACAAATATTTTGTAAATTATAAAGTATTCTACATGTACAGCATTGCCTGTAACGAGTACTCTTTATAGGCTAAGTCACCAAAAAAAAGTAAATCCAAAAAGTTTTTAAAAAAATAATCTACAAAAGCAATGAGAATGGCTTCTGGCAATTTAGGGAATGCTCCATTGGAAAACAGCAGCATGCTCTGCCATTAACATTCAAGTAGACACAAAAATAAGCCAATTTCTTAAGAATCCTAAAAGAATAGTATACATAATGCTGAAACAGTAAAAGACTACTCCAGGTGGCTAGGAGAGAATTGGAACGCATCAGGATGTTAGAGATAGGCCTCAAAAAACAGAGGAGAAGAAAGCTGACACCCTAATTGCAAGGCAGAAAAAACTGTGGAGGCAAGAAAGGGGTAGTGAGAGTTACTCAGGAACAGCGAGTAATTCACATAGGAGCACGCCATCAAATACAGCAGTGGAAGGGGCAGGCTCTGAGCACGTGCTGTAGCCTCAGGTGCAGGACTCAGTCAGCCCAGGTGTGTGTGTGCACCTGCTGGGCAATGGAGACCCTACCTAACAGCTTCAGAAGAAGGGAATGTGACTGGAACTACATAGGACATTAGTCCAAGCGAGGAAAAGGGAGGTTCACAGTAAAAAGATAATGTACACATTTACCTAGAGACTAAGAGCACATTTCCCATCTTGCACTTTCTTTAACATTCTCTCTTGTGTTTTCTGAAAATCAAGACACAAATTATCTATCTCTAGCCTCCAGGCAGCTTCTCATCTGGGTAGTATCTCATCCTAGAATGACAGTAGTTCAGATTTAAGAGTATCAAATTCTGTAAATTTCTACAGCTGAGTTGTGATTATAATCAAGGCCAAATTGAACACTCCCTTTGGTATTTCATTACCATGGGTTCGTTTCATTTCTAGTGAGACTTTCACAAAATACATGGGGTATCAATAGGACTTCCTAAGGCAGCACTACCCAACACCCATTCCTTGTTATTGTGACTTAACTGAAACAATTATTTTTATTTACTGCTTTTCAGGAACTTTGCCCTTCTAAAAGTTAGTCTCCTTAACATTATTTGTAATAGTTTGTAGGCGTGTTTCATGTTTATTGTGTATTCCTCTTTCCCACATTTAGCACATTTAAAAAAAATGCTGATCTTCAAGGGGAAAAAAAAAATCAGCATCTGAGTTGAGTCCTGAAGAATGGATATTACATCCACACGAGCCTGGGCTTGATGAAAAGAGAAAGCATTTCAGTCAGAAAAAGCACAGGAAGAAACAGGAAAAAAAACAAGAAGGGTATGTGTGAGACACATTATGTGCTGTATTTCAGAAGGGCAGGGGAAAGGGAGAGAAGGGGAGGAAAGCTAAGTTACTGAGCACCAGTGCTCAGCACCATGGACTGGAAGGGGATATCACTCACTCCTTAAGTCAGAACAATCCTCTGAGGTCAGTTATTAGGTTTCTACATTTTGTAAGGAGACTGAAGATTCCATAGCTCAGAAAGTGAAGTGACCTGTCCAAGTTCACTCAGCTAGGGAAAAGCAGAGTCAAATTTGAAATTGGATGTTGTCCTTTTTCTCACTGGGTCATTCAAGTACAGCTTTAAACAACCTTGTATTCTATTTAAGGAACTCTGTTCCTATCAGAAATACTGGCTACTCAAAGCCAGGCTTAAATACAATCTATTTGGTTGAGAAATCTATTTCTCTATTTTTATGAGAAATCTAAAAAGATCTATAAACACAAAAGCCTGTTTTGTTACTGTAAATTGAACTCACATAATAAAAATTACTGTCCTTTTCTTTGTAACAGGCAGGTATCAATAAATCAAGCAAATTTCATCACCCTTGAATAAAAATCTGTTAAGACGTCCAGCAAGTAGTATAGACAGATCCTATAACTTTTGTACTAATATAATTAAGATGCTCAAGCTCCACTACAAATTAAGGAAATACACTATGCTTAAGCTACCAAATTTAAGGAAGAGTGCTAGTATTCAAAAAGGTGATGCAGTAATATTCAAGGTCAAGTATAACATGCTCCTGCCTCCCCTATGCTACCAGGCTTCTGCTCAGGCTTTCTCATCTTCTATTTTAACAAAATACAACACATTCTTCAGAATCTCATGACCTATTTCCTTGCATGAGCTTTAAAGTTTATGATGTGGAATTCTATATGTGGAAACAAAGCCTTCTGCATAAATTTGAGAAAATCTAAATGATCAACAACAGGGGAATTACTATACGACAAAGAAAACCTACAGCAAATCTACCCTATGGATCATTATGCTGTGTACTCAGTCACTCAGTCAAGTCTGACTCTTTGTGACCCCATGGGCTGTAGCCTGCCAGGCTCCTCAGTCCATGGAACTATCCAGGCAAGAATACTGGGGTGGGTTGCCATGCCCTCCTCCAGGGGATCTTTCGAACCGAGGGACTGACTCCACAAAAATTCACTTACAAACTTTATATGAAGAAAACTCCACTTGTTATAACGTTAGTGAAATCGCACAGTATAAAAACATAATATGCAAAGAATGACATGAAAGTGTGTATTAACTTATAAAAATATATTTGCCATGTATGCACAGGTACATATGTGTGTATGTGAGAGAATATTCACCAAAAAGTTTCTGTTACGATGTTTTAATATTCAACTTTACTACTAGTCCCCAGAATTCAATAGATAATGAAAATGTATTACTTTTACAGTGAAGAGGACAACAAATATCACAGACTTGCTGTAGTCTGGGACTATTCAGAGCAGAGGCAAATCTCCCTAAACACAGGGTTTGGATCCTCACAGTACCACTGCGATATAGCAGAGCAAAATTCTACCTGTAAATCTGCATTCTTAATGACACTGAATAATCCCAATTATGGACAGGGAAAGTGCAAGAGGTTGTAAAAAGATCTCTATCAAAAGAGTGCCAACACCATATCTCACTGTTGAATATTAATCCTAGTAACATGTCACTTCCCTGTCCCCAAACCCTGAAAGGAGCCCCGTGGTGTTGGGAGTTAAATTAACTATTCACTGCAGAGTATGCGCATCGCACAATCTGCTCCCCTTCGAATGCCTGCTCCCTGCTCTGAGCCGTGGACTCAAAGGCTCTCATTCACAAGCCTTGTGCTCTGGTTGCCTACTCACTTTCTGTCAAAGAAACTTTATGTACTTGCCTGAGCTCACTCAGCCACCCTCACTTTGCTTCCCCATTCACTCCTCCTCCCCAGCACAGACCAACCTCTCCAACCCACACAGCATCTCCTTCCTATATATGCCTGCAGACATTACTGTCTTTAAGACATGCAAAGCACTTAATATAGCCTACAATTATATAAATATGATATCCCTTAAAACAAATTTTAATTTCTAAAGATTAGGGAACTTTGTTACATTTTCTATAATAACTCATTGCTTTTATATAATGCTTTACAATTTATACGGAGAAGGGACAACCCACTACAGTATTCTTGCCTGGAGAATCCCATGACAGAGGAGCCTGGCGGGCTACAGTCCATGGGGTCACAAAGAGTTGGACATGACTGAGTGACTAACACTTTACAGTTTATAAAACAACTTCACATATATTACTCTCAACAAATGTCAGTAACAGAATGCTTTAAGAAACAAAAACAAAAAAATAAAATGACAAACTTTTTTTACAGAGCACGCTTCAGTAATGATGTGCAGTTGTGGAAACTCCTCATTCACAGTCCACTGCCTAAAGATCTGGGAGAACAATATTTTTCTCCCCCACAACCCACAGGTAATATATTAATGGTAGGAAACAGGCCAACATTTCATAAATAAAACAAAACCCTCACGCCCAGTGCCCAGATCTTGGTTTCTAAATACCATTCTCCAATAAGAGGAATCAGGTCTCTTTGGAGAAATAGTTTCTTCCAGGGCTGGTGCAGGGAACACACAAGATTAGCCCGGAGCTTCCTACAGTAATAAGGAAATGCTCAAAAACGAATGGGGCATATCAAAGGGATATGTGAGACAATGTGAAAGATGGCCAAAGCCAGAATAATCTGAATAACAAAATAAGAGTACTGAGTCCATATGGATATAAATAAATGACTGAATAAACAAATGTGGAGAACAAATCCTCCTTATAGAAGAATTTCAAATAATGTACATTATTTTCCCCTCCAGCAGGTGGAGCTAAATCCCCATGCCCCTTGAGTAAGGGCTGGACATCCCAGTACTTTAAAAAGACAGCATATGCAAAGAAAAAAATAGTGATTTTCTGTGGAGAAACCTGACCTAGAGCACCTTAACCAAGGGACAGAGGTTAACATCACCAGTGATGTCAC